CCTGATTAAATCTCCCCATCAAAAATTAAGGTGGCTAAGGGGACCAGATTTGGAGTCTGAGCTGCTTTATTTTGCCATCTATATGCACATATGCATTGGGCTTATATACGCCTATAATATAGCCAGCTATGCCAATGCAAGCTTATACCCTGACAAAATATATGTACAGGCCTCCAGCTCTCCATTCAGATAAGTATGACCGTGCATGTTCACGCATTAATCATGGCCCGTCGACTCCTGGGATGCCCATTGATTACAGGCGACGCCCAGCGACGAGCCACAGGGGAGGTTGGGGTGAACAATGACCGGGTTTGACAAAAACCTTTAGCTCCTGAGTAAGCTTGTAAAAAACAGCCTCAAGCTCTTTGTATATCCCAGGAATTTTGGATCTGGCTTTTTCGATACATCGAAGCCCATCGACGAGCGACTTCACCGATCGATGGTGTTTGTCTATGCTAGACTCTCCCCTGCATCATGATATTGCTCTAGCGCTATTAGCGCAATCTAATGGGATTTCATGAGATCAGCCATGAGCTCATCTTTTACTGGCCCTATTAGTGGGCCCCCTATATATGTGTTGCCCACCCTTCGACGGCCCTTCGACACCCAGCGACTCACTGGTACCTGGTTCTGGTTACTGGACAGGTAAGATCAACACCCAGTGAGACCCTTCGGCCTGGTTCTGGGACGTGGTCGTGCAAAAACTGGAAAAACATGATCGATGCTCGTACTAAATTCATATTCCGGGGGGGCGTAGTTTCCCTTGGCCCATTGATGTCCAGCGACACCCCCTCGACGTACCGGAGCTGGTTAATCCCTGTATGTCTGCAAGGGGCGACCCTCTAGAGCTCTTTTTCCACCAATACAAATTTGTTGATCAGTACCCAACCTGGCTTGAAAGGGATGCAAAAAAGGTGCCCCCGGACAAGTCGGACCGATGCTATAAACGCTATGACCGTGGTACTGTCACGGGTTGAATTATATCGTCGACATCGAAATATGTGCATGCACGTATCAAAGGGCAAGCGGAAGGATCTTATCGATTTGTGGATCTGCCATTGTTGGACCCTGGTGATGTCTTGAACTACCTTCACAACAATGTGCTGCAAGCACAAATGAGTGAGGTTCAACGTTATTGGGGATCTTTGCGTGAGAGAGGGCTGGTGTCTAGCTTGGTGACGGACGAGCACATACCTTGCACAATATATGGTGACGAGGTGCAAGTGAACAAACAGGGCGATACTATCTTTGGACTATACGTATCTCTGACCCTGTTCAAACCAAGGAAGGTTCGCACGATGCATTACTGTTTCTTCACACTTCGGAGTCACCTGCTCGATGGGATACATACACTATGGCCAATTCTTCGAAGGGCTGCAACAAGCTTGAATGCTGTATTTGACAAACAAGGGGTCAAGTTTGCAGTTTCAGAGTACAAAGGAGACTGGCCATTCTTAAGAAAACTATTCCGATTCATTTCCAGCTATACCGGAACTAGAACCTTTCACTAAATTTTGGTGCAGTTTTTGTGAATTTTCTTATATGTCAGGGGCCTGTTCAGGGGTTTGCTGAGAATCATTTAAGCATGCATGAGGAGTATGCTTCTTATGTGATGCTACGACTTCTGCTGACCAGTCTCCATTTTGGTGCATGGCTGGTCATGCTCCTGAACATTCCACAGCCACGTGGATTGCTCGCATGCTGGATTTGGTGTGGGCCGTTCCGGATCCATCGATTAATGTTGCATTGTCAAGCCTAGGCCCTTTGATTTTTGCATCAAGGGCTTCTCCCCGGTGCAGATCAAGCCCTGCAGCATGCACGTTTGCAACCTGGGCATAGTGTTCACGATCAATGGCGCAATTCTGTACCTAAGCGCCCTAAAGTGCATGCAGATGAGATTATGTGTACTAGGAGGCCTAGTTTTTATAAAGGTGATGGATATACGATACCGATTTTTGAAATTTGGTATATGGTGCCCAGGATGACCTTGATCCGGGAAGGCTACTTCGGAGGGGACACGCTTGCAGAGCAACTGCGAGTGGCGTTTTCAGACTTCACTGAATGGAGGAGGATGAAAAGGTTCCATGCTCGCAAAGGCGGTTCAAACCGTCACAGGTGGACCGAAGAGCTCATGGTGCCTCTTTGGCTGGGAAAGCTTGGAACTCTCGCATCATATTGCAGTGGCTGCATGAATGTGCGGTCCAAGCGGCCACGACGCGTGACTTCGATGCTGGCGATCGCACTCTGGGGAAGTGGCTGGCGCAGGAAGTTCAGGCAGGTCGCAAGGTCTGGCCAACACCAAGTACTGCTCCTTTCTTGTTTCTTCAGCCATTGGCATCGTACTCTGGCTACAGTATGTGGTTCAGGCTAACCCTCCAAGCCTTGTAGATCAGTCGATGTTTGTGGAAGAATAGCTTCGATGAGTTCGGAATTCGCTAGTCGTGAATTTGTTTTCTCTCCGGATCCAGCTTCGAGTTTTGGTTTTAATTTTTGGCCTCATCAAGATCCAAGGCATGCCATGTGCATCTGGTTTGGATTGTCGGAGCGCGCTGGCCGCTTTTTGATTCCAGGCTTGCAAGTAACGCTGGGAGTGGGATCAACTGCCAAAACCTTCGATGAAGGCAGCATCGATCGAATTTGAAACCAGGCCTAGGCCTAGGAACAGTCAAACCTGCGGACCTGGGAGACTAGACCATGCATCAGCATGTATCACACGTATACAGGTACATGTTAACTGTGGGGTATTGACTGCCAAAAGCATCGCCGCGACACATGAAAAAGGACTCCCAAGCTTGAACATGGCCTATCCCTGTTCTCCACCCGAGGTGAGGGCCGGAGCCAGCCCCAGGAGGTCCCTAGCCGGTGGTGCCAATCCACAACCAAATCCGCCTGTTATACGCGTTAGGGGTTCCCTGACGGATCAGCTGGTTATTGAGACCCCTCTGGCGTAGGGCCAGGCAAGGACCATGTGACCCAGGAACCCTCGTGTCGGCGCTAGACAGTCATGGAGTCATGGCCCGTTAGTGTTCCAGCATCACGCTTGGGTCCGACACAATAAATTTGTATGGTCCCGCGGAGGATGCTGGACACACACGCCGCACATACATGCACATACACAACTGGCACATGCGTACTTTAAGGGTTGTCCAAAGGTTCACCTGAAGATCACCTGAAGATGCTCAGGACTGAAGCAGAGGCCAGATCGATTCACGATGCTGGGATGGCCTTTTGCCATGTGCATCTGAAGTTGACGCGGCTGGCTCAAAGGCCAGATCAGGGATTCAGGGTTTTCACCTGTTGGATATAAATTGGCAGGCGTGCGTGCATGTTTTTGCATGCTTGTTTGTATGGTCTTGACCTGGTCCCTAGATGGCTTCTGAAGCCAAAGTTGCACATGTTCAAGCACATGCTCAAGCGATGCTTGCGGTGGCGACTCTTGGCAGCCATTCACAGTCACATGTACATGCAGGGTTCCATCCAGACTAGTCTATGCCCTTTACAGGTCCAGGACCTTTTGTGGTCATAGGTCATAGGTCTTTGGACTTGAGATCACTTGGCAATTGTGCAGCCAAGGGCACAACACGCGGCATTGGGCGTGCTTCTCGAAGGAGGACAGGATCGGCGTGCTCAAGCATGTGGCCAGGCACGTTTCGGGCCAGCAGTGCGAGAGCTACCTGATGAAGGTGGCGCGCTTGAGGCTGAAGGTGGCAAAGAAGCGCATGCGGAGGACTGAGGTTTTTAAGACAAGCGCCGGATCCATGCATGAATGTTAAGCGATTCTCAAACATGCTTGAGACAATTTCAACACACGATGTTGGAAGATTTTTGAGACAAGCTCCATGCATGAATGTTGAAAGTTTTTTGAAGATAACGCATGCATTTACTGATCATTTGGAGTCATATACGCTGCAGGATCGACACGGCGGCGGCATGGAAGCGGTGATCAGAGCACTGCTTAGAAAAAGTGCTCGGAGAACGGGTGAGCAGAGTTAGGCAGTTTAAGTAGTCCATGTCGACATGTACTCGTTAAACCAGTCTCCAGGGTCCGCAGGGTAAGAAATACTTTAATAAACACACCCCAAGCCTCAAGCAAAACTGCAAAATATGAAGAAGGAACAAAATAGCTGGAAGCGACCACCCATTGCTGCAGTCCAGTGAAAAGATCAATAATCACCACATCGGCGCCAATGGAACTGAAACCCCTTGTCTTTTCGCGCACGCTGAGGCGTTGAAGCACGTTGCTGGTTGATGTCCTCGCCTTCTCGTTCTGCTCCTCGTCCTGTTCCTCGTCCTCCTCCTTGTTCTGCTCCTCATCGCGTTCCTTGTCTCCGATTCCTGTATAAACTATATAACACAAAGCTCCCCAGCATGTTGTCCTTTGATTTTTGGCGCGCCCTGCCCCCAGACAAGTCCAAAATAGAAAGATAGTGGAAAGAAAACAAATCAAGAATGATCAAAAAGGAGAAACTAAAAAAGTGAAAACTACTTAAGAAAAGGAATCCAGATTGATTGTTTTGTTTGTTATTCGTTGAGTCTGGATGTGTTTTTATATTGAGTCTGGATTTGTTTCTTGTTTGAGTCTGGATATGTTTATTTCTTGTGTTTTCCTTACAAAAACAAAAAACATAAACACATCCAGACTCATTAAAAAAGGAAAATAAATAACATCAAGACTCAAAGACAACAACAATCGATATCGTGGATTCTTTTCATGTCTTTATTCATGTCTTTTCGTTCTGCTGTTCAGGACCTGTTGGCTTTCGTGTCACGTGTGTGCCATGGCCAAGCACCAGGCCCACATCTCCTCCACCTCTAAAATGTAAAATGTAACAGAGCTCTTCCATCCCAATATTTTGGATGGACGGTCGATCCTACATTTCAAGCAGCTGAATCCAATGAACCCGAACACGGACCTGACAAATCCACCGGTTTGGGCTCATTTGGCGTCTTCTCAGGTGGTGAAACGTTCTCCCGGTTGATTTGGAGCTCGCTGTCCGTGCCTGTGAAGGCTGGCAGTGTCCAGCTGGAGCCAAGAGGGATTTTGAGGGTCACCACCTGGTGTGTGGCACGGTGCTCTTTTCTTCGACGCGCCCTCTGCGGCGCCTTTCCAGGGAGGATGGTCTAAATCGGTGAGATCAACGCCCAACATGCGCAAACACTATATAGCGACGTATAGCAACTATATACACGGAGAACAGATTAATTAATACACATTAGATCAAATTAGGCACTTAAAGCAGATTCATCAAGAGAATCTGACAAAGAACTCGTATTCAACAGTTTGACATGTCCCCCAATCCAATCCGGGACATCTGGGATGGGCTCTCTCAATCCCTTTCTCCCATGTGCCACGAAAGAAATCTCCTCAGCAAGCCCTACATTCCTTAGAAGAGACCCATAAAATATTGCATCAGACCCGACACCTGAACGTAGGGGGTCACCCAAAGCAAACCACCATGTTTTGTGGGCCAATCGATTTGATAGGGCAAAATGCACAGCATGTCTTCCAAAAGTGGCACCAGTTTGATACCGATCCTTGCCACAAGTTCTTCGCTCTGAAAGGAGTTCACCCGGGCGCACCAGCACATCCGAGCTCTTCTCCGAGGCATAGCTATCGGGTGGCGGCGCGGGTGGCGCATTGAACCCCGGCAGGTGTCCAGCAATGAGGACCACCTGGAAGGAAACCAGGGGAGTGAAAATGGGAATCCCAACAACCTGCCAATAGGACCAAGTACTCTCCCAGTATGGAATGTATGATAGGTATACAGTATATGTTATATAATATGCCCACATTGACACCTGTAGATACTGTGACCATCGTCCAGACTCTGACAAAGGGATTCAGGTTCATGTGGACAGGATACAGTTGAATAAGATGTACTTTGATAATGGTTGGCGAACTGTTCGTTTCCCTATATTGTTGTATATTTAAATATATATATATACACATATATTATATATATGATCAGGAAGACCTGTGTGTCATCCTCAAATACATGGACCACGAACATCCGTGAACATATTAGTGCTTATAGTCTTGTAGCTCGCTTCAACCGCCAAAGTCTGTAATCAACATACAACCACCCCTTCCATCCCCTTCCCAAGGTTTGCTAGGTTCGCGATGTTGTTTCCCTTTGGGTGAGCGGGTGCCCCAACAGGGTGGGGTACGAGGGGGAATGAATTCGGAAATTAGTCACCCTCATGCAGGAAAATGGTTGCAAACATCCAGGAACAGGTCGTGATGTGTGAAGCAACCCCGTGTAGGTCTCTTCCATCTCTTTCGTTCCCGCTCTGCACCTCGGGCCCGCTGGTGTCCTTCAGCGATGGCAAGTCTTCGGCCCAAAACATTTTGAAGCTGGGCTCCACCATCTTGCTCCTGGACAGCGCTGAAGCCAGATTCTTGTGCTGGCACACTGGTACAAGAGTAGTACTGCATTTGAAGCATTACAACACATCAACTGGAAACGTTTCAACTTCATCCCTTCCTCTTGGGCAGGTTGATCCAGATCTGGAAAAGCTCCAAAACATTTTCTCCCTCACGGTTCAGCAGCGGAAACATCTCTGAGTGGTTGATGCCCTTCCCTGGAGTCATCCATTGCGCATCCCCACATCCGAAGCGACCAGCGTTCCCCAGGGAGTCGGTGTGATCCACCCACCCACGCCGTGTCACGGTGATGGTCTCGAAGCCACGATGTGGGTGCCGGGGGAACCCGGGGATGCTTTTGCCGTGGTACCTCGGCTCAGAAGAGGGGGTTCATCAGCAACCAGCACGGGACAGGCATCACTCTAAGTCGGGCATGGAGCTGGGCCAAGTTCGCTGGCATGATTGGATGTGCATGGAGCAGCGACGTCAGATCAGACCCCATACAACTGTGTCATTGCTGAGTGCTACTCGGCTGAGCTAAAGTTCGTCAGAAAGATGCGCAACAGGCAGCATCGCTTGCGCAGGTTTACAAATGTGTAATTCGAGTTATGTTTTGTCACCGACAAGGATCAATATCGCATATTCAATCATATGCATATTGTATGCAAAAAGGTGTCCCTTTTCGCAGTGAGATCAAAACATGTATGCCGTTGATAGATAGCTGTAATAAATTAAGCTTGAAGCTTGAAAGCTGAAAAGCAGCAACATGTATAGATATATATATTATATAATAATATACCAAAGAATATCCAAACAATAGAGATTGGTCAGGAGCAACCTCAACTCAATTGTGATTGCGGTCAGGCCTTCTACACATGGGGCATAGTCAAGTCTCTGAAGCAGCCACTTGTACAATCTACGCCCAAACTAACTCAGCCTAGCAGCTTCACCGCAGTAGGGACAGGTGTCTTGCAGTCAGGAAGTCGACTTCTTGCTGACTGAGGAGGGGCTTTGTTTGCCCCCAACCCAGGGAGCAGCTTCATGGGAAGCGCTACATCCCCGGGGACACAACACGGCACACACTTCACAGCTGTACCAACACGGCACACGAAGAGACCTCCCAGGCAGGGGGATCAATCGAAATGATCTTGGTTGACCATCCCAAAAGCTTCGGTTCACGCACACGACAGTGTCAGCAGAGGGCCATTTTCTCTGTGGGGCAAAACTCCCTTCAACCCCAGAGGTTCCCGGCACCATGAGGGAACTCTTGTTGAGCCCAATTCCGCTGGCTTATGGGACCCCATGTTGCATCATGTCCGACAGCACTCACTGGGCCACCGACGGCCACGTGGGCCATGGTCTGGAACCCATGGACCCGACCCCTGTCCCCGCAACAGATCGCCTCCATCCTCTTCCCATGAAGTGAAGAAAAGAAAACATCCACCCCCCCCAAAACAATAAGGGTTAAAGACAACTCCTTGGATGAAGAAAGCGACGGGTTTCTCCACAACTCTTCCTGGTTTCTCTTTCGATTGGGTGGATACCATCGTCGACCGCATCGCTGACAGACCAGGCGAGGCGACAGCTATTTGGATGATTTGGTCACTGGACGACGGTTATCGCTGACTGGGCGGACGGCGCGTCCTGTGGTCCCACGGCGTAGCAGTGCACTGGACGATATTTAAAGATTGTTCAAGGAATGGCGAATCATTTGAATAGATCTCCCTCGTTCAATCCCCCTCGTGAAAAATATATAGAACTAATTAAAAATATGTCAATCCCAAATTTGGCCAGTACTGCAGTCTCAGGGGTGCGAATCTGAATCTCTTTCTTCGTCCTTCAAATCCAATCCCATCGACTGTCTAAAAAAAAACACATCAAACATGAGTGTTCTATGCGCAAGGAGCACCCGCTACCTTCCAAACATACCAAAAAGACAAGAGCCCTAAGCCCCCACCGATGTCCTGAGCCGCCACCTGTCCCGTTGATGTGGAGATTTCTATGCCCAGTCACATGCTCCAGCCGCTAGGATGATTGAAGTCCGCCCCCATGTTGTGCCCTCGCAAAGAGGCCTCCGGGCCCATCTCCGCGTTGCCTGCAGGGTAGTGGTCCAGGTGGTAGACAGCGAAGAGAAAGGGCGATTCCTCGAGACGTCAAGGTTACACTTTGCGTCTTGGCCTTGACGTGGGTCCAACCCTCGCTTCCAATAGACACCCATCAAAGGTACCCCCAAGAATGACCACATGTGTGCACAGTGCTGATAGAAAAAAGGACTGGAAAAGAGATGGCAACGCTATGCAAGGCTGTAAGGGTGGTGCTCCCTCAGATAGGCACTGAACTTTGTGGGTTCAGAATATATCGACAGGTCGCCCATGACCCGAACCCATGTAGACAAGGCTCACACTCAAAGGGAAATCGCATGGGTTCCGCCTGGCAAGGGCAAGGGCCATGTCCGATGGATGGAAGGCCAATTTCGCTGAAACACGATGGACATTGATACAGCAAATCCCAGACACTCCATGGGACTGCCATAGGACTGCCAATCCATTGACCCCCAGTCAACCACCCCAACGGCCGTTTGGCAGTCCAGCAGTCCGAGACGGCTCGTGTCTGGGAATGATCCACCTATGTAATGGACCGAAGCATCTGACACCGAGGGCCAGGATGTCGTCTTGGAACCACGGGCGGATCCACTTGGATGGGGAACTTCGGGGCATTTGGGAGCTGAACATCTGGAGATGAGATCTTCACCGCAATGGCCAGGATTGATGAACTCCCATTTTATGGGGGAATCCAGCTGCGAAACCTGAAGACGAGCTGCAACCAGCTTGCTGGCTAGCTTCATCCAAGTGCCCAATTTTGCGCCAAAAGTTGTGGTCTTGACACACCCCTGCACTCACATTGATTTGCACTGAGCTCTGATCTTCTGGACATTTGGGGGTTCAACGACTTTGTCTGATTTCTTTGGTCTTGAGCATTTGATCCAACCCCAACCCTCGGTTGGTTTGGGGGTTCCCTCATTCCACCCCAAAATTCTGAACTGGAACTACGGACGTAATCCCACAGCAACCCAATGAGGGTCAGGTCCGGAGCTAGAAAACGAGACTCCTTATGGTGAGGGTGAAGAACTCCTAGACCTGATGTCCGAGCCATCCTTTCGTCACCCAAAAGCTGTCCTAGTGGAGCCTTCACGGCGGGCAAACATCGGGTGATCTTCCCGACGGCCCCCGACATGGTTTTGGGGGTGTCCGACATGGAAAACCCGACCGAGCCAAGCGACTGGCAGTCCATGGCGACCCAGTAAACAGTCGAGCTAAAACATGCAGGAAACTGAAGAAGCCAAGCAGTTACGAGCAAATCAACCAACCCATACCATCGGACTGCAACGGCTCCATGACATGGATGGGTCAGGGAGATAGATGGGTCAGGGTGTTGAACCATAGGCTGAACTTGCAAATATCACACCCAAATTGTTGACAAAAGCCTCAAGTTTCAGAGGTCAGTTCGAGACTAGGTAACTCCACTGGTCATGGACTTGGACGACAAGGGAGGCCAACCATTGCAGTAACGGTATAGTTGAAGAAACCAATTCGGCACCCAGCTTAAAATATCTTTCAACCAATACAGAAGCCGACCTGTGCAGCCTTGGTATTTGCCAGAAGGAGATCCTTGGAGGGTCCGTTGGCTTGACAGCCAAACCTTGAATCGCTTGCCCGTGCGAGGCTCTTGCACTGCGGCCCATAAGAGGCGGATTTGCACATGTCTACAAACTATAGAAAGTCAATGAAATTCCATTCGCAGTCCAACGAGCTGAAACCTTGTCCAGTTGTGGTGCCAGCTATTGGAGGCTGGGGACTCCATTCCTGCTCTACGCCTTCCGCAAGGGTCGCGACCCACCCATCGTCACGATGGGCTGCGGGTGGACCTGTCGGTCTCCCCCCACCCCAGTGCATCCCAGGTTAAACCACGTCTATAAGGAACCGCAGGTATTCGTTCGGTCTATGGTGTTAGTCGAACTGGAACCACTGGTTACCAGCTATAGTGGTAACTAGGATGCCCTGGGCCTGTGTTCTCCACCCACCCGTTCTCTCTCGCCTTGATGATCGACCCCTTGCATGTGGCAGGCTCCCCACGGCAGGCGGCAAACATGGCGATCGAGCGTAGTGCACGCCGCACGACGCTCGGTACAGGGGGAAGAAGGACGCTGGACCCCCGCAGTGCGGGCATCTGTGAGCCAGGTCCAAGAGCTTGTCGACAGCAGTGCAGGAACGTTCGAAAGTATGTGAAAGTATGTGAAAGCCAACAGCTTTACCATGGGCTCACAAAAACAAGTTGCTCCATCTTTTCACCAAGCTCCATCTTCCCCGACAGTGGTCCTCCTGAAACAATTTTGCCGGTAGGAGGAAACGCTCACCTTCCAGTCGATCGCCTTCGCGTTCCATGTTACCCTTGACTGTTTGCCGTTGTGGAGACAGATTGCAGGTTGACCACCGAACATGGTCAGGGCACGAATCGAATCAGCGCGTGTCGACATCATCTGGGACTTCCAGATCGCTCGTTCTTGGGTGAGGTCGATGGTCCAAGCTTCGGAGGTTGGTCGATGGTCCAAGCTTATGAGGTTGCCAAGCTTCCAAAACCCCCGGGGTCGGTCTGTGTGCATCGAGTCACGTCCAGCCCAGGCCAGGCTGCCCTTCGAGGCGCTGACCCGAAGCCAGCGGCCGAAACCGTGAACCGTGACGGTCCAGACGTGAGAAGGGGTGTCTGTTTAACAGCCTCTGAAAGCTTCAGTGTCCCGGTTCACTTGGGGATTCCTCACCGAAAGCTTGCGCCTTCACACCAAGTCCCCACCACCACCTGAACCCGGGGCACCGGTGCACTTTTCCGCCCGGACGCGACACTCCGCGCGCGGTTCGGCGGCATCGGAGACGCCGGACACGTTCGGTCGTGGCATCGGAGAAGACATGCGAAGGGCCAACGAGGGCGAACACATGCGGAAGAACAAGCTCTACTTCTCCTCCAAATGGAAGGTCGGTATACAACATCCTTAGCAAAAATAGAGCATGGAATCCTTGGACGATGTCCACGTGCTTCTTTGCATTCATGCCATGTGCGGAGTCATTCTTCGCATTGAGCGTTCGCAGGGCGCAGGGCACATTGTTCGGCAACAAACGGTTGGCCGAGTGACGAAATGGATGACTCGCTTAGCTGAGAGAGGTGAAACATTTATTTGACCTTCAGAAAGCAATCACCTCTCTCGCGACGTCTAGTATTGTCTATGTACACAGCTATCACATGCTATCACTTGGTAAAGACCTCACTGTCAACATCTGTCAGCACGGCGCGTGACGCTACAACAACTGTCCCTTCTGTCGCTTCCCTTGGCGCATCCAGTTGATCGATGTGTTCCTTCAGATTCGTCCCAGAAACCCAATGAAGTCATTCATGAAAGCTGCAGATCTTTCGGCAACATCAGAGTCAAGTGCTAAGACCCCAACCAACCTTAGCCCATGGCTATCCTCCTGAAAGGCTCCTGCAAGAGGTGCTGCAGTTCTGGACGTCCGCGGGGGGAAGAGGGAACCTTCCGTTTCTGTCCCAAGAATCCGGGGCCGTTTGGTTTTGGGTGCATAACACCCCGTCCCGGATCAGAGGGCGCCCAATCTCCAAAAAAAAAAGGTGGCAAACATCGAGATCGGGATCATGTTGTATCTCTTAGCTGTTGCTGGTCCTCCACTTCCATCTTGCTGTTGCAGCTCAACACACATGTGCGCACCCACGTGCACATCTGCCACCCCCCCGTCGTCTCCGACTCTCCCACGGCCCGGTCTCCCAAGGAGGGCCGTCGAGGGTCGTCGGTGACCTGGAGCACAAGCGTTGGTGGTGGTATGTTATGCTGGTCATGTTGGTCATGTTGATGGTCATGTTGGTGTGTTGCCAAGATGACCACTAACATACTAATACCATACTACGTATGTGTTTGAAGTGTTGCCAAGATGACCACTAACATACTAATACCATCCTACGTATGTGTTTGAAGTGTTGCCAAGATGACTGGATGGATCTGGATGGCTTCTGGAGATGACTGGTGCTTTTGGAAGTACTGCCAAGATGACTCAAGATGACTGGATGGCTCCTTCAAAATGACTAGATATCATGCATCTTTGCAGGCAGGCTTTGGAACATGAGTCAGATTCCTACCACGCAGGTACGGGCCAACCTCATGTGGCTCTCGCCGCAAATGCCAATCACGCGGGCTGCTCTCCCTCTGGGGTCTGCCGTTTACGATCACAGAGCCACAGCCAAACTACTAACCGTATACTAGAATAAGACAACCTACTACTATATATATACGTAAATTGTTGAAGAACAAAAGGACACAGTCATATATATCCAACACAATCAAACTCCATAATCCTCCAATGGTTCCAAACAAGAGAAAGACATGTCGACATAGTCTCCTCCCAATCACTGTTCTTAAATCACCTGCTGTTTACCTGCTTCCTACCTCAGCCAGAGTTCTTCGAACATTCCCGTTCCACCATGCTTGCACCTCCAGCCTCAGCTGATCCGTCGACATCCAACTCTTCAAGGTCTCGGGATTCGTGCTTGCTTCGTCCGGTCGTCGGATGTGTGGCACGGGGACTGGTGCCAGTCGAGCCCCGGGCGCAGCACTTGGTGGGCCAGCCAGGCAAACCCTGGAGGGAGTCCGTCATCAATGAGTGTCCCGTTTTGGGGAGTCGCCCGTGTCACGATGAGGGAAAATCGAGAAGGAAGAAGTAAGCCTTCTCGCATGGTTTCGGTCTCTTCTCCATGGGATCTAGTTTGCAGTTCGCTCCCCACACGCGACAAAGGCCCTGGGACGAGTGTTTCGGGGCAACTTGTTTGCACCTGGTTCCTCGGGGGCCAAGTTGCACACGGGCGTCCCAGTTGCTCTCGGTCGGTCGAATGAAACAGAGAGACAGAGTGGTGTCAGATCTGTCAATTTTGGACATCTAGCAGTTACTGAGCAGCGTGGGATCTCTGGCCAGACTTGCTGAAAGAACTGTTTTCCCTGGAAGTTTGTGTCATGTGTGGTATCGCAAAAACCGCAGGTCCCGCGCCCAGCCATGGACCTGCAGACGATCCCGGTCTGCCCGTGACAATGGACCCCTGGGACAGACTAATTCTCATCTACCACCCAGTGGTTTTCAGAAGAACTTCAGAATATTTAGACATTTTCAGAAGAACTTCAGACGTTCTTCAGGACAACTTCCTGAATCATCAAGGGGCAGTCAGCTACAGCCTGGTTGCCTGGCCTACCACACCAGCCTGGCCCTCTGCGTCACTGAGCGCTCACACCTGGCCCGTCGCCTTCTCCACTGCCCAGGCCTGGCAAGCCAAGTCAAGAAGTGGAAGAGGAACTGATGCCATTCGGATGGTAAGATTGAGTATTGCAGGACCAAATGGTGTTGTATCAAATATGTTCAAGAAGTGGTGCCATTCTTTGTGAGAAAACAACTAAAACGTGAATCCAACCATCCAACACCAGATGGAGATGCTTTATCTTGGGCCTTTGGGGGTTCAAACCCTCCGTGTTCGAATCAGCCTCTTAGCGCCGAAGCCCTCGGATCGATCGGCCTGGTCCAGCAGCATTGCGCATTCGATCGGCCCCGATCTTCGGAAGGGATCCGGTCGGTCCGCCGAGAAATTCGATGCACCAGTTCGTCGCAGAGGTTTGAACAAAACACACTTAAGTATATATGTAGATGACATGTGTATGACTTGTGTTTCATCTTACATCCCAGAGTGAGTGGAATTGGCAGATCAAAGATATAACCTCACTCACGACCGGTCCAACGGTCGACCATGGTCACTCCGCGGCTCCGCTCACGCTGCCGTCGAGGCCCCAAGCACCCTCTGGAGGTGAGGCCCCAAGCTTAAGACCACTCTGGCTCCAGACAGTCTGGTATACCCCGATGTCTAGACTACTACTCCCTCCAATACTGGCTCTGCTTGCTTAGAGTCTCGGCCTGTTGGTTCATTGCCGACCGGCTTAGTTGAGGGGGAGTCTACCATCCATGGGCTCTTCGTGGCTCTTTGACCCACCTCTTTGACCTTCGGCCTGCCAGGGGTCCGGACGTCCCACTCGGCAGTCGGACGGAGAAACCCCGGGTCCCCAGCCGGCAGCTCCACCAGTCGGTCGTCCAGCGCGCCGTTGGGCGAGGTCATGTCCGGCACCTGGCGCGGTCGGCGGAGGGGGTGAGGTCCGCAGCACTGGGGTGGAGGGAACATGAGCCTCGGAGCAAGGGGTGAGATAGCACAGATGCACAGACAGCACGTATATTTTTAGATAGTATATTGATGTAAATAGAAATGCAAATAAAAAATCGTATATTTATTTCAAGTTATAAATAAATGAAAATAATGAAGCAAAATGAAAGATTTAAATATTACAGTATCCATCCGAAAATACCCCTTACCTAGATTAGGAACATTTAAGAACCAGGTGATATGAGTCCTTCATCTACTAGGACAAATGTGCTCTTCCCTGCAACTAAATCAATGTGCTTGGCCAGAAGCTGACCAGAAAAGGATGATGAAGAGTAGCCCCTTTCCAAGTTCGAACCCTGCATTTCGATAATTCAGGGTCCAAGGATTCTACCAGGTTGACCTTGACAGGCAGTTGACCTTGGACCCTACAGTAAGAGGTGGTTTTACCTGGAAACACCGCTTCGACCCGCCGCGTCCGAAACCAGTCCTGCTACCGACCCGGGAGCGCGAACGTGCACCTTGGACTGACCTGGCACCGTGTTCATCACGATCAAGGCCTTGTACCCTGCGTTATAGGCGTTCTGCGCCTCTCACGAGCGAGAGAGAACGTAGGAAGTGAGATGAGAACAAGCGCGTCATCGGTTTGGTGAGATCGGAGCATCTGAAAGAACGAGCGGCCTGTGGCTTTGTTTTTTTTGCTTTTGTTCTGGGTGTCTTAACTCAAGGGTAGCTGCTACGTGTGCATGGCTTGCAAGGAAGGTTTGCATGGCTCCAAAGGAAGGAGGGTTTAGAGCTCGAAAAACGTGGCGACAGTCACAAGATGATTGCCGCCAGGCCCGAGGAATTCCACATGATGTCGAATATGGAAGTAGAAGTCAAAAGAAGGAAGAGACAGGAAACAGCTGAAGTCTTTTCAAGCAAATGGAACTGGAGATGGCTCAACCTTCCATATTTGCTGGGATTCCAATTCCCTGTTGCGCTTCATTTCGTTGAAGATCCAGCCGGCTAGATGATGTCCCACAGCCCATTGCAACAGCCGGTTTCCCCAGAGCAGCCTCTACAAGTTGCTGAATAAATACCTATATAGGTCCCCCAGCAGACAGGCTGTCATCAATTCAGTACCAGGGCCTTCAAGGGATGGTTAATGGACACCCCTTAAGACACCCCTTGGGGGGTCCTGGTACTATTCAGTATTCACAAACATTCCAGAAATGTCACCATTGTCCTTTCATGTTCCTTAAGTTCTTGACATGTTTCAGTGTCCCTTAATGTAGACTGCTGACTAATAAAACCCCGCCCATTATAAAGAGGTTTGACCATCCACATGGGGGGTACTTACAACTAATCAGGAGTCTACCTTACTCAACCTTCCATCTCTACTCATTCTGTTTGCACAGATCACCACATCTCCAGCCCCACATCATCACACGCATGCTCGCCGCGCGCAGCGCATGCTCGACGCGCGCAAGCACGCAGACCGGACCGGCACACACACCGAGCCGCGAGCCTTCTGGCGAAAATCACAAAGACCGCGATCCACCAGCAAGGCCAGGCTCTCGATCTGCGAGTTCAAAAGACCCGACCGTCCAAAGAGGTGACTGCACCGGCGGGGTGTGTGGGGGGGGGGAACCGCTGAACCGATGACTGCAAAGGTTCATGGCTTAGTTGATCTACTGATGCTGGATCTAGGGCCAAAAGTGTGTGTGTTTCTTTTTGTGAATTACAATTACCATAATGATCCATATTTTTTTTTTTGTCCGGCTCTTTTGTTCCGCAGAGGTCAGCTGAACTCATGTCAGCATCGTTCGAAGATCTCGGTTGCCTCCAACTTGGCATGGTCGTCGCAGCTTGACCGTGAGGCTAATCTCGGTGCCGTGGAAGCGTGCTCTTTGGTGGCAATGGTCGCATTCGACCAGATTGCCGCTGCGGGTCATCTTGTGTGTCGGATGACCCTGCCAGTCCCGGCTGCTGAGTGGTCCATGGTGACAGACTTCACCCAAGAAGCGAGAAAAGATGTCCTCGCCAGCCCTGGCCAACACGTAGCTCCGACACTTGGTGCACCGCAGGTATGCTTTGTCTAAGCGAAAGTGGTGCATGTCTGGCTTTGGCTCTCCTTGGCTTTCGATGAGATCATGTATGACCTCAAAGCGAGTCTTGCGCTCCTTCTTTGCTGGTCCGGCCGCAGCACAAGGCATAGCTTTGGCTTGTTGGAGTTCTTTGATCAGGGATTTCGTGTGCAGCCGTTGCTTGCACAGCTGACATTGCACTCCTGATCTGAAAGGGGCCCATTGATGGCCGTTGCATTGCGGTTCTTGAAGGTATTCCGCCAAAAGAGACTTCTTTTGCTGGACCATGGGGATCTTGACATTGTCTGACCTAGGATCTTTGGCATGGAGAAAGTGATCCTTGTTCCTCAACAGGATGTCCATTCTGGTGCCTGCGACGCTGAGAACATCTCGGGTGTCTTCATCAATGTGCCGCTGGAGGTCCAAGATGTCTTCTGGTTTTGCCAAGAGGGCAGTCTGATCTGCCTTGGCCTGAGTGTCTTTCTGAAAGGCCTTCCTGTTCTGGTTGGAGTCCATCTCCTTTTTGTCGAAAAGCAGAAGCTTCACTTGATCAAAGTCTTCATGTTCGAGGCCCTGACTGAGATCCGGGAAGGCTTCGTGCGCCGCCATGAAGGCCCAATGTTTCCAAATGGAGTGCTGGAAGACAGCCACATGGACTTGGTCTCGAATGTGGAGAGACAAATGCTTGAGGCCATAGAAGAGGGCTCGCAACCTCGTGGCCTTGCCAGGGCAAATGCCGGTGAGAGCTCCAACTCTTTCTCTGGTGAAGACCTGATGAATGCAAAGGGCGAAGACATAGCGTCTGTGCCGTGGGTCCCTGGAGGTTGGTGCAATCGCAATTGACACTGCATGACCTGCTGGTAGATTGCAGGCTTCCAGTTGTGCCCAAAGCCCTTCGCCATTGAAGGTGGCCATGCCTCCATCAGGGATGTAGAAGATCGATTGTGTCATGCCCCGGTTCCAGAGTTCAGGCTCGGTGTTGGCTTGGATGCGCTCCTTCCATTGTGCCGGAATGTCCCGGACTCGGCCCTGCCAAAAGCTGCACTCCCAAAGGAGGTGAGTGAAGGTGAGCTCAACTCCACAGAGGGGGCATTGGCCTTCTTGCCCGTGCAGGGTACCTTGGTGCAAGGCCCGAATGCCGGTAGCAACTTTGTCAGAGGTCATCTTCTGGAGAGTTCTGCTGACCGTCCAGTCTAACTTCCTCTCCAAGTCGTGGCAGCCCGTGTGCCTGGTGAGGCGAAGGAGGCGTTGCCACTGAAATTCCTCATGGAGCTTATGTTGGATCTCCGGCCACAGCGCTTCAAGGCAGATGAGGCAGTCAGGGATGCCTCCATAGCCTGTTCTCTTCCATTGTTTGCCGTTGGATAAGTCGAAGTCATAGTCAAGCAGGTAGGCCTGAAGGGCTTGCAAAGGCCCAGTGACCACCTGCCAACGGTATTTGGCCTTCAAGAGCAGGTCCAAAGCGGAGTTCCAACTGATCCAGAACAGGTTGCGGGCTCCTTCATCAAAAGAGTGAAGGACTCTCCAGACCGTGTGAACGTGTTGGAGGATGATGGAATCGCCAGGATCACATTTGTCTGGATGCATGTCAAAGACAACGTCAACTGATCCAGTGCGTTGGAGGCCCAGGCCCCTGGCAGCCATGACCCTGAGTTGTTGCCGCCTTTGAGGAGCCAAACCGTTGGCTTGAGCTCCCCATGACATCACAGGGTGTATCGCTCCTCGATGAAGGCGATACTTGGTGGTGTTGGCCAGCTTGAGGCGTAGCATGATGCCTGCTCTGCCCCTTCCCTTCAGGAATCGTTTCTTGATCTGGGAGATCCTTCTGCGACGGGAGTTTGTGGCATCAATGCCGAGGTCTCTCAAGACGTTGTGATGTTGAGGGTCATTTTCTTTGAGCAGGGCATCCAAAGCCTTTGCAGACTCCTTGCTGCTGGTGATGAAGCCCGTCTTGTCGTTGTTCAAGGAGAGCCCAGCTGCTGTCAGGTGGTGTTGGAGAGTCCTGAAGGCCAGAACTGCTTCTCTTGCAGCGTAGTCAGGATCAGTTCCTTTGATGTCAAATGAGACGTCATCAACCCAAGTCTGAAGGAGCACGGCCGGGTGTTCCTGAACCAGAGAGCGGAGCGGTTTGTAGAGCACCAGCTTGGCAATTGCCGGAGCCTGCGGGCAGCCTTGGAGGATACCCTTCTGGTAGTAGCGGGGTTGACCCGCAATGCCCTCGGCTTGAATGAGTCTCGGACCCGTGTAAAGGTCCAGAGCAAGCTTCAAGTGAAGAGGAGGGTAATTCAACTCCTGGGCCGGCTCGATGAGATGGTCCAGTTGGACAGTGTCATAAAAGCAGGTGAGATCTGCCAGGCAAGTGACCGTGTGGATGCCTTGGTGCTTGCCAATCTCTGCTTTGAGCATTCGCCCGACCGCGATGCTGAGACAATCTTTGTGAGGTCTGGCATGATCCCAGGGCATGTCATCGTCCAATCCCAGTTGCCATCGTTGAAGTTCGTACTTCCGATAGGAGTTCCACAAGCGGTACAGGCAGGAGGTGAGGGCAATAGGTCTCTCAATCCTCTCATTCTTTGGGATCATGACAATGTTGGTGTGACGGAGCTGAAGTGGAAGCTCCGCCTCCTGTTCCATCTCTCGAAGAAGTTGAGAGAGCTTCTCCACTGCAGGGTATGGCAAATGACGTAGAAAGTCATAAGAGACTCCGTCAGGCCCAGCCGCCTTGTTGGGGAGCTTGCGCGTGATTTTTTGCAAGAGGCTGGAATCTATGCTCTTCCATTGGAGAGCTTGGGCCTGTGCTTGCCTTCGTAGCTCTTGAATGCCTCTGACCGTCAATGGACCTTCGAGAGGGATCCAGATGGATCCCCATTGCTGCTCTCTGGTTTCTGTCCTTTGAGTGGAAGGCAAGGATTGGAAGGGTCGCTGCCAGGCATGGTCTTTCTGCCTCAAACTTCGGAAAAGACCGCGAAGTCCTTTGTCATGTGCCTTCTCCAGCCACTCGCGAAACTCATGATTGGTGGCACTCATCATCTGCGCTTGGGCCAAATCTTGTTCATGATGGATGATCTGCTGCAGTTGCTCTGGAAGAGGATGGCCTCCGAAGATCCATTTGAGGAGTTGCTCTTCAAAGTGTGGTTGATCAAGTTCTTTAGAGGCATGTTGTGGGATTCTTTGGAGCATGTCCTTCAAGTCTTGAAGAATGCCCGGATACCGGCCATGTGCGGCTAGGTTGAGGCGAGCTCCAAACTTCTCCCAAAAGGCGGCACTTCCCTTTTTCCAAACTCGTGGTTTGGTGGAGCTGGCCAGAGGGGCTTGAAGGAGTGGCCCACCTTGCAAGATCTGAGCCAAGACCAGTGATTGTTTGCCCTAAGATCTCAAAGGGTCCATCATCCTCGGTGAAGGAGGACCAGTGGTGCTGCGGGTTGTAGATGCGAGAGATCGGAGGAAACCTCTGCAGCTGCTGCACAGGGAGTGCAGCATGAGTGCAGTCCAGTTGCAGGGCCAGGGCACAGTGTGGCTTCCAAGGTACTTCCCAGTTCGCTTCTAGCCTCAAAGCCCCTGCAATGGCGGTGGAGGCAAGAAGGAAATCAAGGTGGCTGCCCTGTAGGGTGGTCGGACCTGGCGTGGCAACGATCTGAGCCCGAAATTTGCTAGGGATGTTGGTGGCCGCCAAATCCTCCGGTGAAGCTTGCCAGTCCCCACCAACAATGAAGGGAGCCCTCAAGTGATCGAGGAATTGGAGCAGCTGGCCGAGAAGTTCTGCATTGAGAGGCGATTGCAGAGTTTCACCGGTGCGAAGATAGAGCTGGATGAGGTAGATCTGGATACCCTCTCTCTGCATGGCCAAGGCCGTCCACCCATTTCCTTGCTTGACGTAGGTGTGGACGTGATGAATGAGGTGTCTGGCAGCATGGATGGTGAGGAAGCCTCCAGTGGATCCGCCTTTGCCGGTGGGTTCAGCTGCAACCCCATGCACCTTCCACCCCCTGCAAGAGAAATATTGAAGCGCAGTGTCAAGGGCTTTCTGTTGAAGGTGAGTTTCCTGGAACATCATGATGGTGTCTCCTTGCCCCCAAGCCCAGTCTTGAACCTTCTTGCCAAAGAAAGTGACGTTGCTGAAGGAAATGGATATGGTCTCCTGTGAGGTTCGAGCTCGTTTGGGTTGCTCTGCTGTCATCTCTATGGCCGTGTCGGTGACCACTTCGTCAGTAGGAGAGGCCACAAGCCATATTTGGGAGATTTCCTTGGCCTGTTGAGTGGACAGGTGGGGCAGTGGTGTCGGAAAGCTGTTGTCATCAGCTAGCCAGTAGACATTGTCCATAGCCAAGATGGCTTGATAGTGTCCATTCTCATGAGTGACTCCTTGGTGCAAAACCAGGGCGATGACCTGATAGGCCGCATAGTGCACATTGACCCCATCCTCGGAGGAAGGGATGTTGACCCTTGTGGGCAGGTCCAGCTCTCGGTGGTGCTTGGTCCATGTTCCATCCTGCAAGGTAGATCTTTGAAGGTTGATGACCAAACCTCCCAGGGATCCGTACAGGAATTGTCCATTGCCCTCATCAGCCCAGAGATTGACAAGTTGATCCAAAGTGATGGGACCTGATCCATCTGGGAAAATCATGTTGAGAGGGAATTGATCACGCTCTTCGGTATGGCCTCTTTCGCTTCTGTGGAAGAAGCGTCCAGCGAAGAAAGTGCTGCCTGAGTAGGTCCACAAAGCGTGCAGGAAATCAACAGCGTCAGCTTGCTCTTCCTGATTGACCTGGGGCCAAATGTGGACCATGTTGTGCAATCCGGCCAGCTTCTGAGGTTCGGTGTCGGACAGGAACTGACGAGCGGCTGGTTGAGTTCGGCCCCATGCCTGTGTTGGGTCCTCAGCATAGGCTCCAGCCCAGCACCAACAGCGCCATGGAGCATTGGCATAGCACATGTTTCGGTTGTTCTGCAGGATGCTGGTCAAGCACTGCGAAACAATGTAGATGTTTGCAACTGAGTGCTCCAATTCCCCTGGAACACGGTGATGCAGTTGCACAAGATTCTGCATGCGTCGGAGGTCCATGAGGAACTGTTGACCTCGTTGGAGAGTTGGGTTGCGACCATAATTTTGACACGAAGTGAGCATGTCTTTGGTGCATGAATCAAAAAGAGCTCGCTGTTCAAAAGTTAGAAAGTCATCATCAACTTCCATGTTGAGAATTTTGGCCAAGGACAGAATCGCTGAGGTCCCGTAAGAAACAGACCCACCAGGGGTCTGTTCTGAGGTAGAAGAACACGGTGCCTCAGGAGTCTGTCCAGCCAGAGGCGCTGCACTGTGCAGCGCTCCCCCCAGCACCTTGATGGAAGTCAAGGTGCGCCGATACGGCCCATAGCCCGAAAAGGTGGAGCGGCCCGAGCTTGAGCCTGAAAGCAAAGAAGCATCAACCAAAGGTGCAATTCCCCTGCAAGTTGGTTGAGAAAGTCCCAAGTCATGAGTCAAAGGCCATGACTGAAGTTCCCCTTGAGAAAGTGAAAAAGAGGGCCGCAAGCTGTCAAAGGGGCTACCCACAAGATCCTTGGTTGCCCGCTTCCGTCTTGCGTCGTTTCGACTCTTCGTCCATGCTCTCATCTTCTGAAGAAGGACGTTTGAGCATCGAGTGGAGTTGCTCCTTTTGCTCCGGCGTCAGGTTGACTCCAAGGGTATGAATGAAACCAGCTACTGCCTCTGGTACTGAGTCTTTGACCTCGGTGTCCAGTGGCTGCAAGGGCTTGTCCCCTTGTGTGGAGCTGACCTTGGTGAGATACGCCGTGCTGATGGTGTTCAAGGAGGATTGTTCTTGCTCTAGCCTGGTTTGAAGTGTCTTCATCTCTTCAAGAAGATCTTGATAGTGCTTCTTGGTGTTGTCGATCTTGAGCTGCAGCTGTTGCTTCTTTTGAGAGATGTCCCGGAGGGTAGTCACCTGCTGTTTGAGTCGAGCTGCCATGTCCTTTTCAGTCTCCGGTTGCGGCTTGGTGATGCGTTCAACAAGTTCTTTGACCGGAGCTGGAAGACTGGCTAGATTTTCCTTGAGGACATCTGTCAAATCGGGCTCATTGGGCTTAGGAGCCGGGTTGATGCCAAGTTCAACGAGCTTGGATCGCATGTTTTCGTCCATGGTGCTCCAGGCAGGTGCCAAGATTTCTGAAGCCGTTTTCTGCAGCTTGGTAGGGCGTGGAGTCCTGCTGACGGGAATGCCTGGTGGTGGTGAAACCCGTCTCCTTGGTTGCTGCCAACTTGTCACCTTGCGCTCAGCTGGCTTTGCATAGCCCTGTGAAGGTCTCGTCCAAGGTGTAGAGCACTTGCGGCATGTGAAGTTGGGCTGAATCTTGTCCTCCCAAATCCAATTAGAACAGCTTGAGGAACTGCAGCATTGATATGCTCTGCACTGCCAGCCCATGAGAACGTGCCAGGTCACCGTGCTCAGAGACAAGGGCGATGTGCAGGAGGACGCGTGGGAAAAGAGTAGCCCCAGTGCCGTCGTCGGTCAAAGGGCCCTGTGCCCAGGCTTGAGCCTAATGATCCATAATGTATAAATATATATATTAATATATATATATCCATATATGGTCTCCTCAGGGACCTCTGTTCAGTTTTTTAGGTGCTGCTTTTGGAACCATGGCTGCTTCCCGGCAAAGCAACATCGCTTCAGGTCGCTTCACATCCACGCGCTGGGAGATCGAAAACACGGTCTCCTCTTCGTCGTCGCATCAGAAATAGAAGACGTCTGAGTCCTCTAAGGTCCTCGCATCATGATAATGATATGATGTTAATGTGTTAACGGTATAAGGTCAACACTCACATGTCCACACCCTCATATATCACATATGTGAAAAGTTATGATCATCAGACGAAGGGCGGTGTAGCTCAAATAGGCCCCACCCCCCCCCTGGCTTGGCTTTGGGAAACGCTGGCGAGCACGCTGGGCTCACCAGGGTCCGGGGTGGGTGTCTCCCGGATTTACGGTGATTCATTAGCTATAATAGGAACATGAACTTACTGAACCTACCTCCTATGTAATAGGAACATGAGCTCCGAGTACCTACTGAACTGAGCAACACCCTGCGAGTTCACGCAGTGAAGACAAACATCCTCCAAGTCGCGCAGTGAAGACGGGGGCACATCCAAAACAACGCTACAAATGGCTTTGCTGAGTACCAAAGCGAATCCGTTTCAGTGGAGGAGAATCCAGACAAATCGATCGTCCACGCGAGTCCACGCGATCCAAAGCCTGCGGAGTGGAGGGCAAGATGTCACAGGCCAGGCTCCTCTGAGGGAGCAGCGAAGGAACCAAGCAGCGAAGGAAGCAGAAGTCATCTGGTTGCTGAAAAAACAGCAGATCAGGTAGACGTGATGAAGAAGTAGGGCCCGAGATGTTATGAACCTTTCTGGAGACAGTGGGGGGTGATTCATGTACCATCTATATCATATATATATATATACATTACTTCTGTTCTTGTCGTCTTTTCGAGAAGAACTGTTTCCGATCGAGTCAAAACGGAAGTCAGTCGGCGGCTGAATGATGATGCTGCTAGCATGCGTTTGGTGCCCCAAAAATAGACATTGGGGCGGAATGTGATGAACCAAGGTGTTGGCGTGGACCTGCAAAAACGCTTGCAATGTCCAGAGAGATCATGTTGGACATGAGTGGTGGGACCCACCGAATGGGCTTTGCAGCACAGGTAGCTATGGTTTCGGATTTTTTATACCCCGCTTTGTCATGGACTTCCCGTGCGAAAACGACGGCAGCATGGGAAAACCGACGGCCTCCGCCCCAGAAAGGGGTTCAATCCGAGGAGGCCCAGTAGCTCAGTAGCTCAGTGTAGTAGCTTCTTTACTCCGTTCGTTTTCGAGGCCCAAATTGTTCCTAGTTACGGCGTCCTTGTTGCGTTCGGTTTTAAGGCCAGCTTGGCACTTCACAGCGCGGTGGAAGAGATGTATATAGATGTATATAGCAGGGCCCAGGGCCCGTGAACGGTCCGTTGCTTGACGCCAGACGTGACGGGGAGAACAGTCCATCTGCGCACCACGGAAGCATTGGAACCCGATTCGGGTGGAGTCGAACATTGGAGGCCTTCAAAGGATCCCAGCTTCTCGGTACCCCAAACGCTGAAGCTGTGGACATTGGACGTCTGAGGATCTGGGGGGCTCCAAATCCTCAGTTGAGGTGGTTGAGGTGGGTGCCAGGGGGTCTAACTACCTGAGGATCTGGTTGGGGCCCTAGGGAATGTTCCTGTGGACCTTGCACAGATTCTGTGGAAGAAGGCGGCCCAGAACCTGTGCAGGATGGGACGAACACCAGCTTTTTTCTCCAGAAAGCGCACGTGCGAAATGGCTTGAAATCATAGGATCATCAAGTCCAGTGACTGGTGCGAAATGGCCAAAGGAATCCACGATCAATCATAAAGGCCTGACTCTGTCTCTTTTAAGATCTAGACACCAGAAATCACCTAACAGATGTGCTAGGATGCCACTCTAAACTTATATAAACCCTTTCGAAGCCCTTCCAAACTCCCCAAAAAACCGGCCACGCTCGCAATGACTGGCCTTGCTGGTGCCCAAGTTTGACACCCCTTCGGACACAAAAGGGGTGACGCAAGCACGCTGAGCTGATGACTCACTCGGCGGCGGGCTTCAGACTCGGGAAGCGATCGTAGATGGCCAAGCGTGTCAAGATGAAGCTGGGCTTCACCTTTGCGGCTTCGTAACACGTCGGCGCGTAAAAAGGCCTTTCGGTCTGTTCGTTTGCACGCTGCGCCAGTCGAAACCAACCGTGCTTTTCGAGAGTGCAAGAGATGGGAGACCTGCCGGGGTGATTGGGAACGAGTTTGAGCGATCTGCCAGACTGGACCAGGGAGTCCTATTGGAAGAAGTCAGCAAAAGTTGAATGATTTGCGGAGGTTGATCTCGGGGTCCACCCCCTTCGTGGTGCCGCCCAACAAAGCCCAAACGACGAGGCGGAGGGTCCACTTGGTGGCGCCAGCCAAAGTTGGGATGTGTATGCCACACTGGGGATGGGGGGATGAAGCCGAAAACAAAAGACTAAAAAACAATGAAACGGACCATCGAACTTAAAAGGGTGTGCTTTCTGTAATAGAGAGATCAATGGGAGTTGGTCTATTCCCCTTCTTGCACGGGGTCGAACTGGGAGGTCTCCCTATTTCAATACACAATACACACACAAATTGGTCCCCTGCAGGGTCACACGAAAATAGAGCTATATAGCTGTGAAGTCCCTGGAACATTCTGCGAAACTCATTCGAGCTGATGAATCTTATTTTAGGCAAGTAGCAGCAAGGACATAGACACAGTAGCCGAAGCAGTAGCCATGAATGAGATTGAGGCCGTAGCGAAGAGCAGTCCCACCAAAGCCACCTGATCCGAGCAGGAAGGTGGCGAATCTGAGACAAACATTACCGTGAGCCAAACAGGAAAGCTCAAACATACAATGGAGCTCAGCTTTGGCGTCTCCAAAAAGACAATTATTGATGAAAATGGAATCTCCAGAAAAGGGGATTCACCCATAGGTGATGAATTCTGTTTGGTAGATCTAACCAAACAGAAGAGTCTCCTCAAACACATCAAAAACAAAGGCCCAGGCTGCATCTCAGCAAAACTGCATGTTAGGGCATGCGCAGCTGCATGCGCAGCTGCATGCGCAGCTGCATGCGCAGCTAGAGCTGATTCAAAAAAAACAATCACTGGCCCAATTGACTGTGGGGAGGCACCAGAATACCGACCGCTTGACCTGCCGCGGTCCTACGCGGTCCTGCACGGCCAATGGTGGACTGGTTGGGTGAACCTCATGGGTCACGACCCGTCCCCATGTTTGGACCTAGGAACGTTCGGACGTGATGCTCGGTGGAGGCCATCGCGGTCGAACGCTTGGAGGCCAGAAGCTACGAGGAAGTAACAAGAAGCTACGAACGGAACAAAGGGCGCTATTAATTCGGTGGAGGACCGGCCTCAAACACATGTGACATGACAGGGGCGTTCGAGGGCCCGTTTCTCGATGGACCTGGTGGCATCGGACTGGGTCATTTGGTCAAAACGCAAAGCCTGTCCCACCTCCTCCGGCAAAACCGACCTTGGATGCACCGACATACATGCCCGCCTTAGATGCCAGAAGAAAACAAAAAACAAGAGAGAAAACAACATCGTATGCCGCAATTGAAGGGGAATTATATACCCAGTCTTGTGCCTATTACCATCAGAACACCTAGTGTGACCACACTTTCTTTGGGAAACATGATTCCTCCAGAAACTGGGGAACATCAAAAAAAAAAAACTGCCAAACCAAGCCGCCATGTCTTCGAGCAGAGGGCAGAAGTGTGGCGCGAGTCGTCGACGAAGCTGTTCACTCCAAGGAGCGTTTGAGCCAGTCGTCTTCAGACCAACCGGTGCGTCTCGGTCCGAGAAAGAAAAAACAAACATTCCGTGTATCTCCATGGCTTCTGGCACATGATGGCACAAGTTACCCAAGGTCGCTGTTTTATATCGACCACCATACAAAAGGCCTCTTTCGGTGTCCGTCCCATCGAACCTTTGAAACCACTGTACCAGCACCACGGAATGGGCGGTTGTTGGATGGAAAATACATCGTCAGAGGTGTCAGTTAAGATATGTTAAGATCTATAAACCACCCGAGCTCCTTGGTGCTGGTATGGGATTGTTTCAGATCAGTTGGGGTATGTTCAGGGGTCAATGTATAAGCACACATTCCATACAAGATGGAGTGTCTGGGACTGGTGGCCAGATGCTAACCACCAGCACCTTCCCACAATCGGTCACCTATACCCTAGTCTCTGGATCTTTGATCCTGTTTTGACCCAAAGCCATTTCACCGAATCCACATATCCTCAAAACAGGGCCAAAGCCTGGTGGCCCTTAGCATCCGCCGTTATGGGGTTGCAGTGGTCTGATGTGTAACAGCAGGTGAAAGATTCCAACAAGGTATCTATGTTAAGCTTTCTCCGCTGGTGGCAGGCGCAGCACTCTGCGAATTAAAAAACACGGACAAAGGGTTTTGTAAGCTGCAACAAAAGTTGTAGACAGCGCAGCACTTAGTGAACTCGGCGTCCTGATCTTCGCATCCGCATTGTATATGAGAGGGCAAACAACCGGGTGGCCCTTAGCATCCACTGTCGTGGGGTTGTGCTCGTCTTGCGTCTATGCTTTCTATCACTGCAACGCGCGGTGAAATAATATAACTTAAAGAAAATGTGTTGTCTTTATTAGCAGTCTCTTTTTTTCTGCAGTTGCAATTGTGACGAGAACTGTGTCATCCGGCCACGGATGGCAATTCGGAGAAGAAAAACGAGAGGAACAATTACGCTACAGGAAGACGAGAAGAAAGGACAAAAGCCAACCAGGAGCAACAGAAGGGAAAAACCAACCAAGCAAGAAAGAAGGCACAAAAAGCATCAAAAGCAAGGAAAGAAAGAGGATTCACAAAGAAGCAATGAAAAGCAAGGAAAAGCAACGGAAGCACAGAAAAGCAGGAAAAGCAGAGAAGCTGTGAGAAGCAAGGAAAAACAAGAAAAACTTAAAAACAAAAAATAAGTTAAATACCCCTCGGCACGTACGGAGGGAGCGAACGAATGTGTGCTGAAATGATTGGATCAGGTCTCCAAGACCGGGTCTCCCCTTCATGTCCGCTCAGCGGCTTTTTTCCGCTTTCAGCACATCAGCCATGCTGCAGCTAGGTCGTCAAGACCTTGAGTTCGTATTTTTGTGCGATCTTCTTGTTCTCATAGGTGTCATCGGCGCAAGCCACGTATCCATCTGGGTAGATGTAGGCGAAATCACTGCAGCATGTCCGAGAGGAATTGAGCTCAAGTGGAAGGTGAGCATTTCCCCTGTGGAATCCCACAGGACTAAAAGAAACAGCGCTTTCGTAAAATTCCGTGCCTTTTGCCTTCCTGGGATTGGCTTCAGGGAGCATATACATATCTTTATCATTCAAGTATACTCTTTCAAAAGAATGTGTTTTGCACAAGGAGAAGCTACCAATGCAGAAAAAAATAGATAGCACATCCAGGCATCCTGTAATAGGTCCCCTTCTCCTGCAGCACCCAGCTCTTCACGCAGCAATGGGACACACCATGAGGGTCTGGATGCCCGCAGGTGATCCAGCGTCCGCGATAGTTGTCCCCGCACTTATCCGGCTTGATGTTCTTCTTGAAGAACCTCTTGATCTCCTCGCCCGTGGTCACCATCTTGTGAGTCTGCAATTTGTGCGCTTCAGAAACATAAAATCATTGCATGTTGATGCATTTTGTATGTGTGACATGTGTGATATGTGGGATGGCCTGTCCTTCCGCTGGCATGGCTCCCCAAGGGCTATCTCACACGTCCATGAATCCTTGTCACAAACCAAGCCCTCGGCACAGCAACCCTGTTGCTGCATCGAATCCTTCTTCCCACACCTGGGCAGTGGTTGAGCCACCCCTTGCAAAAGCAGCAACCACCACCACCACCACCAACAACAACAACAACAACAATGATGGCACCGGCACTTTTAAAGGTCCAGTGCAATTGTAATGTTATTTCAAACAGTCAGGAACGGGGTTCAACAGTGTGTTGGAAATAGGGCATGTTATTTCGTATCTTTTTTCACAAGGCATTGAGCATTTAAAAAACCGTGGACATACGACACGAAGGTGTGTATTTCCGCAACAGATACGTTTCGCAGAACCTTTCCCCAATAGAACTGCGACATGAGTGTGTGCGTTTGGAAATCTCGTCTCTCACAAAGTGGCACATCTTGCATTGTTGAGACTATTCGCGTGTAGGCAACAGTCTCCCAGTTAGTCCAAGACCGGTCTCCAAGGAAGCTTGGACAATGAAAAAACAAGGTCACCTGCATGGTCTCAACTCAAAGTGTCGACGTACTGATATACCAATCAAACTTAAAGAAAAACTTTACACCCCACCAGAACGGCAACTCAAGACAAGACGTTCGGAAAGGAAGGCGTTCACCAAGTGCGGAGCAAGCAGGCGGCGAGTTCAGAAGGAATGCAGGCGTACCCGACGTGGCCTCTGTACCCGACGTGGCCTCTGGACCCGACGTGGCCGCCACATGGAAGTGGACAAAACATATTCTTCCTTTCGGGGCCAGGGCGTCCACGTAACCATGATTGGTGGAGGGAGTAGGGCCAATGAGAATGAAGTCTGGCATCTGAGAGGTTTCCAAACAAAAGTCTGGAGCTTCATCGAAGGGTTTCGTCGAACACTTCTGTTCTGGTGAAAGGGCTCGTTAGAAGTTCCGGCCAAAGAGGAGTCCTAGAGGAACGGCACAAACAAATCAATACCTTTTGCTTCTCGTTACTGAGATGATTCCTTCCAAGAACTGTTCAGCTTACAAACAAATCTTCTATACTTCCCCTCCCCACCCACCCCCTCCCAGCAAGATACCATGATGAAAAAATACCCAAAATTGTAATTTTGCCAGCGCTCGCTAACAGCGCGAGTAGCAACAACAACAACCAGTTATTGGATATATCACATCTTTAACGTTGTTAAGTACTGTAGTCTGTAGTTAGATAGGTAACTACTTGCGTTTTGCAGGGATGAACATGGAAAATAATGACATTAAATATCATTAAACAACATCTCTGGAAACGCCAACCCAGACACTCTCTGGTGCATTTCTGTCCCTTTCCAGGAAGCGTCAGCTCCAGGTGCCCCATCCGGCTGCAGGTGGCTGAAGAAAGAAAAAGCACGAGGAGCAAGAGTCGCATCATGCAACTACGGGTTCTCAAGCACACGTCACTGATTAAGGCTTTCTAAGCCTGCTTGCACCGAAAGGCACGCGGGAAAATTGTCAGGTGCCTTACCTGTCACCACCTGTTGTCTCGTGGGGTGTATCTCGATCCCTTTCACTGCTCTTTTGCAGCTAATCCATGCTAATCCACGTATTTTCCTATTGGGCAGCTGATCGCATGCCGAAGCTCTTCGGCACCTCGCTTCAGAAGCTCCAGCAAGTCGCAGACCAAAAGCACCAGGAAAACTGATGCGGCCAATGCGAGTTCTCCTCGTCGTCTCATTTTCACCGAAGGGTTGCACCATCTGCGGAGAGTTCGTGGCGTGGGACGCGGCTAGGGATGCCCAAGCTATCGAAGAGGGTTTGGAGGCCCAAGGTGGTGGTGGATTGGCTCAAGAAATGACCGAATGAAGATGAATATAGATGACCTATCCACTGGGGTTGTAGGGGGAGAGAGACTCGGAGGCCTATTCTGCTATGAAGGCCGTCCGGGCCATCCGTCCCGTTCGACCGGCGTCGTTCTTGCGGGGTTTGGGGAGATCCGCCGGCGAGGTCCCTGTCGCTCACTGGACGACGAGGGTCCAGCGCCCGCAGTCGCGTGATTCCCATCAGGACAAGGTTGGCAACCGAGAATACCGTGGTTTCAGAGTACCAGCTGCTTCCAGTCCGGGTGCCCTGGCTGGACAACCGTCGGACAACCCTACACTACATAAACAGGTCTCCCTGTCCAGGACACCCCGACAGGAAGCGCTAGGTAGATGGCGCAATCCCACAATCCAAAGACCCTTCAGGATCGATTGATTTCAGGATATTGATTTCAGGCTCCCAAGACTATATGAATTACATATGATTCATCCGGATGTGGTCCCCAAATAGATAGTGGCACGGTGTCCTGTCTGCATTCTGAAGGTGGAGATTTGCTTTTCTCTCTGTTGACTTTTGCCTATCACTCAAAACCCACCCAAAAGGAGGTGTTTGACCACACAGGTCGTGGGGTCTTAATCATCAACATGACTCATGATCATTATCACCATCATGACCCAGATGTCTGGAAATGTTCACCTTCCTGGCAAGGTGACTCCTACAGCAAGAAGGCAAAGTTTTTGAGCACGGAAGCACAGCAAGTTGGGTGTTGCTGCACTTGATGTGGAACAATTCGGGCGTCGGCGTCGGACACAAACAAGGCTTAAGAAGGAGAGAGCTGAGTGGAGTTTTGAAGTTTCGAGCACTAGCCCAAGGTGGCATGTCTCAGAACGCTCAAGTGGCCCAGTTCGGTGATGCTTTGCTTAAGGCTTCGGTCAAACGTTATATCGAAATAGACCAATGCTCAGGGGCTTCCAGGGTAACAACCAAGCAATCCAAAAAACACTCAGGACGCGCCCATCACCTCGTGTGAGCCTAAGCAATCAAACCAACCACACCCGCAAAAGAGGTACAAGCACTCAATCGTGACTATGTGACTCGACACCGAGAAAATGTTCCCCTATCCAGACCCCATCTGGACCCATCCAAAACTGCATCAAGTGGATGGTTCATGCTGCACCACCATCACATGATCCACCCCCAACTAGAAAGCAAACAGCCCGGCCACGGCCCTGGGGGCCACGCATGTCATCCCCAAAAGCCAGCTGGTGTCGCCCGAAGAAATGCTTCGCCCCGACCCAACCCTGCCCAACAAGCGCTCAGGCGTCCATGCTCGCCCGGAGAAGCTGGGTTGAAGGTTGACGGATTCCCTGGAAAAATGAAGCGGAAGGAGACACCAAGGAGACCCCACGGTGTCTCAACCGCAGCGGCCAAAGGATGGAGCAAAAACTTCGGTCTGATCAGAAGATTTGGGCAACCCATGGCAACCCATAACCCATGCACTCAAAAAACGAATCGGAAGTAGAAGTGGATAGACAACCTGGCAGACTCTCAAGCAATTTGTCTACCAGGATCAGCATCAGCAAAAAGGGTGACTTCCGTAGTGGAGGATGGATTCAACATCAACAATTGTCAACACCCGACGGCCCAGTGAAGCCTCTGACCACTAGTTTGTAGATGGCCAACGAATGAGTCAGTAGTTCACCAGACAGAAATCGGTGTTTTCAGAAAGGCAAACAGTCCCAGACGGGCTCCAGTCGTACCTCAGGTCTGACTGGACCCTCCTTCCTTCCGTCGCCAGTCCCACAGAAGGTGCGACAGGAGCCGCAGGTCTGGCCAGTGGGCCACCGGGGCCCTGTTTGGTACGAAACAGGGCTCGGATCGCGGACCCTCCAGAGATGGAAAGGTCATTGACCGGAATAGATGTTACAATGCATTAAACCTTAAAAATCAAAACATCTTCCAATCACCCCAATATAGGCCAATATCCCACAGTTGGATTGTTAGGGATTGGTCCTACACGTTGCTTTTTCCCCCTTCATCCACCCACCCACCGCACCGCACTTCCGCCGCCCCCATCCGCCCCCGCACCGGTCCAACGGCGCTTTCACGGAGAGCTTCGGCTGGCCGAAGCTCGGGAGGTAGGCATTCCACACCGCCGGGATCCTGGACGGAACACAGCGGCCGGGCGAGTAGGGCGAGTAGGGCGAGTAGCGACGCGATGGTGGGTGCAAGCTGACAAACAGAGACCTTATAGTTGAGACTTGCAAGCCATGAAGCGGCTGGTTTGGGGGGGAAGGGTGGTTTCTTGATCACTGTGAGGTGAGATCGTTTCGGCCGATGGTAACACACACCTGTGACTTTGGGGCTTGAAGAACGTTGAAGCACCTCGTCCAAAGTGTTTGGGCAATTGTTGCCCTACCATACCCGGTTTCCTACATCCTGAGTACAAACTGCACAAGCGGCTGGCACCAGCCATGCACACCACGCCCAATTTGAGCTCGCGGCGCCACGAAGGATTGTGTTGCGGTCTCACCATGGACCTGTGCCCAGGCGGGACGTTGTGTGCTTGTCAGACGCGCAGTTCTTGACATTGAAAGATTTGAAAGAAAGTACTTGAGTTCTATCCCTCAACTCCTACCAGGACCATCCTGTCTAGGTCCTGACTGGACCATCCTGTCTGGGTGTCCTGGCTGCACTACCCAGCCTACTGCTCTCCAAGAACAGACACCCTGACAGGATGGTCCAGGTACCCGCTTACATGGGCGGAGTGGTTTCACTGGTCAATGTAGGCATACATTCCATACATGGAGTGTTTGGGTATGAACGCCCACCAAGTCAGCCGAGTGAAGATGGTGAGGGGCTTCCGAAACCATGCAACAAATCTGGAAGTCACACATGTTCGGGCAGAAAAGAATCACAGTTCTTGATGTTCTTGGTGTTCATCTCCACTTTCCTAGAACCTCAGCGACCTCTATCTTGAATCACCAACCACCCACAGTGCTCTTTCTATCTCTTTCTCTCTCAAAACAGGGGTCATGTCTGGGTTCTAGCCTAAGAGTCTATATCATCCATACCAGGACCCCCAATTCTTGTGGTTTATGGACACCCCGAAAAACCTCCAAGGGCCTATCGGCCTAGACACCCATGAAGGCTCCTGGTGCCGGCCCCGCACCATCTGCACCCGCTTCACCTTCCGCCAAGACGCCCACAGGGTCGAGTGTCCCTCCACCGACGTGAAGGAGACCAGCAGGGCCTGGGAACCCAGACAACACACCCGCGGCCCGCGGGTTTCGGTATGGGAGGACTCCTAGAATTTCATGGACTCCAAATGGTTGAAACCGACTTTCTCTGCTACGAACGGTCCACATGGAACCCCAAAACCACATGGTCTTCCACCACCGGTCGATTCTCGGGTTCCATGTGGTCGGTTGCGGGAGTGTAATTCATGGTACCTGGATCATCCTGTCTGGGTGTACAGTCTAGAGATCCCAAAGTGGTGTAGTGTAGGGTAGTCCATTGGAGACCCATTGGATGGCATACCGTTGGATGAAACAAATTCTTCTTGAAGATTTCTTGTGCTCTTGATATGAATCAGTTTGCTTCATCGATACATACTACCGTGTACATATGGGACTCAATTCACCGATCCCTTGTTGATGCCTGGAATCGACCGGTGCAGGGACTCACTGGGCCAGGTGGCGCACTGGTCCGAAGTGGATACACTCACACGAAGTGCATCGCATGGAAGGGGAACATGGACAACACGGAAGAGATGCACTCCATGTTCCACTTCCATGTGATGCCTCCTGGAAGTGGAACATTCTCATGTCTTCTCTCTCTTTTCGAACATGTGCACTTCGACTTCCCCGTGATGCCGGAACGGATGTCCGACGGCAAGTCATCATCCCGATGGCACGACCATCAACTCGGCGTGACCAGGCTGGGCTGGGAGGAGAAGGTGGGGAGGAAAAGGGAGGGCGAGTGACGTCCTTCCGGTTCGCTCTGAAACAGACTCTGAGCACCCGGCCACAGCAGCTGTGGCCATGGCACCCATGGCACAAGGACGGAAGAGATTCGATCAAGGAATATTTGCCTGGCCTAACCTGGCGGGCGACACCTGGGACAGACCGACTTTCCAAATTTTGTTTTGAGGGGATGTGGCTAGAATTCACATTTACAAACATCTTTTGATGTGCTTACCAATGAGCCACTGTCTCTTTTGAAGCGAAGATGGGGACAAGGATTTTGGGTATGTTATTTTTATTGATACGACACGACCCGTTAATTAGAGAAGATCCCACTATCTACCACGTCTTGATGGAACATATTGTATTTAGTTGGACAGTTGGACTGTTCAATAAATGAATGTTGAACTTGGAGTGGACTCATCCTGGCAAATCCTGTCCAGAACCTACAACCCAATCTGCTCCAGTTTTGCAACCAGTCTGTTTGCTTTCACAGTCTGTTTGGTTCATCGACTCGTGCTCCGTCTCGTGAGATGTGTCTTAAACCGCGGCTGATTGGAGCGACCTTTGACAGGGAAGTGTCCAGGTGGGTCAAGGGCTTCAAGTGGTTCTCCCGGCGCACGACCGCCCCCGGCGGCCGGTGTGTGGGGCTCCAGGGTTTGACCTATCCCTATATCAATGACCTTGGGATCTTTTCGAGACCCTAAACAGCCAGAGTTCGGACTGGGCTGGATGCACCAGTGGGATGGCTGGGCGAAAGACGATGTCTGCTTGGATCAAGGCGGTTGGCTAAACCTTTAATGCAAAGCAGGTCGGTGGTGTCAACCCACCGAAGAAAGCAAAAAAGAATCAAACCTTCCGATGGAATCATTTCAGGTGCTTCGACATCCGGCCGATGCTTTAAACCCAGGTCCCACGGCCGAAGATCACAGCTCCGGAGTCAGCCCCGCCCTCCAGGTCGCTCTGAAACGCTTTTGGCGCCCAAGCACGCGCGCTGAGTCAAGAGCCCCAAGCCTGGGAGGGCCGTGTTGAGGTGGGATGTAATGCATCCAATGGCATCCGGAGGTCAGAGATGTTTTTTTTTTCAGGGAGACGTCTGTGATCCCGGCACGGTGTCCTGTCTACATGTTTAGTGGGGATCTACTTTTCTATCTATTTGGGGGTCTACTATATACATTAGTTTCCTGTAGCTGTTCCATCAAACCAATTCTGGATGACGGCTGGCGTGCCAGTTCACATTCCCAAAACCCGCACGCACGGATCCTTCGTCGCTTCAACCATATCCCCGCTCAACCATCCATAGCTCGTGTTGCTATGGGAGCTCCAGTGTCTACCAAACGCGGGCGACCACTGGATCCGGATGTTGCTCTTCATTCATGGCTTAACCCAGCTGCTTGGACATACCAAAGAGATCCAAAGAGGCCGACTATCTAAGACCTAAAGGTAAGTTCCGTAGAAGCTCCGTGTGTGGGAGATCATATTTGCATGATCTCTTTCGAAACAATCCGAAAAAGAAAAAAAAGGGCTCGCAGACTCTAAGGGCTGTGGGGTTGTCTGTGGGAGATAAGAATCAACTTCCAAAAAGGCCATTTCCCAAACAAAAAGCCATTGCGGAATGTAAAAGAATAGTTTCAAAAGTCGCTCTTCTATCTCTTCTCAAATAAATAGTAATTTTCCCAAACCGCGTGGACCTGCTTCTGCTAGGTCTTTCGGAAAAAAAAAGATAAATACAGATCTCAGATCGGCGTGCAGCAGGCCTGCCTCGTTTCGTCCTCCCTGAGGACTTCCCCTCGTCCCCCTAGGACTCCCCGCGCGAAACTACTTGCCGACACCTCTGCCGCTCTTCAGTGCATTCAAGACCTGGAGCCATTCGAAAGCCGCAGAAGAGGCCGCTCCACAAAAAGAAGACGAACCTGCAGAACTACCAGTGCGGTTGGATGATTTGGGGTGGTACCCTGTTTTTTGGAGCTATAGCCCATTTTGAACCTCTCATTTCAATGGAATCCTTGTAAAGATGGTGAGCGCCTCAGTCAATGAGTTTCAGCATGATTGATCCTTTACCGGTTTCTGGGTGTTCATCCAAACCTGAGAGATTGGCTAATGGACTTGCACTTGATAACTGTATCGTAGAGGTAATTTGATTGACAACCCAAAATTCACACAGGTGCTTTTGAAATCTTTTGAACATTCTTGAATTGAACCATTTGGGGGGAGCGATTAAACATGATCAAAAACTATCCAGTTGAGGATTCGGCTTTTCAAGGTCGCAATCTCTTGAGTCTTCCAAGCCACTTCCTTCGCTGATCATTCTCTTTGCAATTTGTGACCCCCAAAACATGGATCGATGAACCCGCGTCGAGATCTGATCGAGTCGACGATTCCGCATCTCAATCTTGGTCCGGCACGGATCGCCCACAAGCTTGAAAAACTTCAACACAAACAGGCTGCATGGTCCATGCAGCGCATGGTTTTCACTCTCAAAACCACCCAGTGCCAAGCGCACGGTCGTAGAACCAACCCTTCCGCCAGGTGAAATCACTCACGACTTTGTGCCGTAGGACTGACCGAGCACCTCGCACCTTTCTGATCCCCAAGCCGTTTTCCTCGTTTTCCTGGAAAAGAAAGGTCAACCTCTTTTCCACCGGGATTTATGGAAACCAATCATCCCAAAAAAATATATATGAATGTGTTGTTCTTTCCAGTGGTCCCAAATTTTGGTTGGCTCCAGGTTCCTTACCATGGGGCCTTCACCAGCATGGAGACCGATTCTCCCACGAAAACCTGCTAAGGTCTAGGACCTAGGAGACCTGTAGACTGACTCTTGAATCTAAACATGGATTGTAAAGCCCTTGAAGAGACCTGAGCGGGGGGGATGAACATCTCATCTCAGGAGTCTACATGATGTCATTTTGACCTACCCTTGAAGGGACTTCGTGCAATCAATCACCTCCGTTGCTGTCTCTGTGCATCGATCCCCGTGGTAAAGGAATGAGAGGCGCCCCACGCAGGACTTCCGAGCGGTGTCGCGCAGAGGCCTCGGTGACCGAGGGTACCGGGTACAGAGGCCTTTGGGAGAGCAGGGCGCACGTGAGCTAGTTCAGAGAGTTCCCCCCCAAAGCTCCGACTGCCTTTTGGGGGACCCAGGCATGCCAGGTATGCATTAGTACAGGCAGAGAATGATGATTCCATCCACGAAAGAGGGATGTTCATGAAATGCTGGAATCATGATCGCTTCGGCATGCTTCGGGCATAGCAGCCTGCCGAATCGGCATGAGTTTGGGACACGCCCGCCCAAGGGCGCTCATCACACCCGAACCTCTTCGCTCTTGTTCCATGCTGACAAGCGTCCTGACCCTCCAGTCCCTCAGGACTGAGGAACAAAAGCTGCACAGCTGCAAATTCTTCAGGACTCTGTGACCGAACTTCCAAGAGAGGTTCTTCACGTCGCCCATCCTATATATACCACAGACCAGGGTCCTAGTTCTGGTCTCTCAACCTCTCTTGATCCCCTGGAGGTCCCGTCCTTCGGTCACGAGGTCCCGTTCTAAACGGCCCGGTCGACCTATCCAGGTTCTGCTGCTGTGTCCGTGTCATCTTGGGAGGAGATCTGGGATGTTTCTGAACCCGTTGGAACTTGGAGTGTGGGGATTCTGCCTTGGCAGGCGTTGGAGGGAGAGGAAGTCCCCAAAGCTTCCAGATTCGGTGAATCTCTATCCAATCAGGGGGAACCTTGGAATTCCATGCAGCTTTTCACGTGTCCAAGAAGGACAATCATCTTGAAAAATCCATCAAAATCCCTGCCATGCTGAAGCGTCGGTCTCCTTCCATCCCTCCATTCCTTCGGCCGCCCCAGCCAACTCGGACCGCAGCTCGGCATCCGCGGTCGCCTTGTGACGTCGTGAGGGAGGAATGTTCAGATACCTCCTGGTCAGTGACAGGTCGATGACAGGTCAGTCACTAAGACCTATACTTCCAGGTAAGTATAAGACCATGGAAGTATAAGACCTGGAAGTATAAGTCAATGACTTTTCCTCAGTAAGATCATGGAAGAAAAACAAATCGTCCCTTGGACGACTACTTTCCTCTATGAACAGGGTGGAAACCCACTTCCGTGTGATGTGGTCGTCGGACGGTAAAGCTTCTTCTTTTAGTTCGTTGCATTTCACAGTCAGTTCAATCCCCATTCTGAGCACCGAAGGGTTTCGGGCGTGCAGTTACGGGCGTCCAGTTTTTGTCCCCTTTCGAGAGAAATGGGCTGCTTGGATCCAAGGGAATTCCACTTCCTTTCTGGAACCTGTAAAGGAAAACCACTGGTTACCTTGGCTGGAGTTTTCAGTGGAGTCATTGCGCGCCACTTTGACCAAAGGAAAATAATAAGAGTATCCAGGATCCATATACCCTGGGCCCCTATAGGGCTCCAACCATCTCCTCAGAAGGTGGGTAGACCCCCCAAATCCAACCAGACCATCTTCTCAAAAGGTGGTTGGAGATCTAGGGATAATATATACTCTCTTCATCTCTTTTCCATCAGCTGAGCCCTCTTGAGATCGCATTTCTGGCCATATCAATGACCATCATTTTTTCCGACACGCCGGCACGCCTCATCGGCCTCTCGTGGGCCCAGCTTCAGGTCGCGCGATCTCTTCAGGGATTCGATCTCTTCTCGGGCACCTTGGGAGAGTGGAGAGTGGAGCAATGAGTCAGGTAGGCTTGATGAATAAAAACCACCCATTTGGATGCTCGCAGTATACAGTCCTCATATGAGGGGATTTATTCATCAACAGTCTACATGACCGGGATTAGATTCAGATGAAGACCCGAAGTCTAATCGAATCGAAAGCCCTGCAAAAGATCCGGCAAGGTCAAAGGATCTACTTGGCCCTCCAAGGTCATGGTAGATTCAGCCTGTGTGATGCTCAAGCATCAAGTGCGCTGACAACCTCAGCTGCTTCGGTATGTTTGAATGTTGATGACACCCCCCACGGTTTCCGTGGCCAGGGTTTGTACAGACACCTGGACCAGAACCGGCCGGGGGGGGGTTCCCGAAGTGCACCACACCCATGAGAGATGCTCCAAGATCCGAACGATCCCCGCGGTGGGGCCGGGGGGTTCGATTCCTGCTGTGCAGACCTGCCAGTTCGG